CCCTTTAAAAATATAAGAAAAATATAAGAAAATATCACAAATAATCTTGAAGTGTTTTGACATTAATGTCGTTAAGAATTCCAACAAAATTCAGGACAATTAAGCTTAAACTTCATTCTTTCAATTGAAAGTTATTGAAACTTGAATATTTCTTAAACAAAACGTCTACATACCATCACACAAAGCCATCGTGACAGCCAGGCATTAGAAGGAATTATTCTTAAGCTCTTATCGGGTGTGCAAGAGCTCGGAAAGTAGAAAAATTCAAACTCTAAACAAAAGGTCGAGTTTCTGTGCTCATTTGATTATCGTGTTGGCGCATGCAAGGAGAATGTGATCATTGGTGTGTATTACTGGGGGGGGGAGGGGAGGGAGGGGGTTTGACGTCACGACAAAATTTCCTACATAATTTTGGGATTTTTTATTGATTTATTAGGGGTAAAACACAGTTATTGAAGTAAATGGGTAGAAAAGTAGCTTTTAAGTATCATACCTGGGGTATGCTTTGGTGTACTGAAGGAATTTTGGAAAATCAAATATATAAAAAAATGAAATGAAATTTTTGTACTTTGATTTCAGTTTCCAGTATAGTGTGTCATTGAAATTTTATTTTTGGATCAATTTAAACCCGGAAAAGTAAGCTAGAAGTTGACAAAAAAGAGAAATTTTAGCCCTCCTTTTTTGAATCTTATATCTGAAATATAACGGTTCAATGGGCACTTATACCGTGCGGACATTAACTATCTTTTACCTTGTTAACGTATTTATTTGTCAATACATACTTAATAAAAGTGTTATCTTACCTCCTACAGCTTATATTCTTATACATCCGAGGCTTTCCTCTGCTTCCTCCCTCGCTTAGACCACCCCCAAAAAAGACGCCAACCACTTCTTGTCAAATAACTGACGAAACAGAACCGATTCTCTCAGTCCTAGTAGCTCTTCCTTCCTGTCTAGACTATAACTCATTGTTCCTTCGCTTCAATGAAAAAAAATTAACCAATCTCTTTGTCTCTTTTTAGTTTATTTTAGCATTTTCGAAAATATTTATAAGAGAGAGTTAAAAGTTTTCACTGTGTACATTGAGTTGGTTATTTTTTCCCCCGAATTGGTGGCTTTCACGGCGGCCATGTTGGAGGAATTTAACAAAAGAATATCCTCCAACGTGGCCGCCGTGTCTTTTGTTATTCAATTCTCTTGGGAATGGTTGAAAACCATCAATGCCTTCTTCTTTTCGCTGCATGGACACGTGGTAAATCTTTTGCTTTTCTTCCAAAAGCGCCAGCTTTAATTTATTTTTCATCTTGTTAATTTGCCAGTCAGCCTGTCCCCTCACCCCCGCTTTTTTTAAGCCGAAGAAAACCATCTGTCAGAGTTCTCTTTCCATTTATTAAAAACTATAGTTTGTCAAAGAAGACTGTTGAAATACCGCTTTCTTCTCTCTTACTATTTCGAATTTATTACCCTAAGTACCGGGAATGAAGCTGTAAACATATGAAAAACTATTCAATGTTGCACACAACCACGAAGTGGCATACTGTATTTCTTGTGTTTCTTAAGGTGCTGACACACGGTGCAACATTGCAAGCGACATTGCATTGTAAGCAACAAATTTGAATCGGGGTGACAGACATTGCAATAAAATCACGCAACTTCGCTTGTGTCAGCCTGCTATGCTAAGATATTTGGTCAGCAGTCATAAATTTGGTGCAAGCAGATTGGCTGGAAATTTCAAAACGTTGCATGTAATGTTGCAGCCATGTTCACATGATGAAATTTGTTGCGCGCAATATGTTGCGCGATTCAACTTCAGATTTGTTGCATTTAACGTTGCGTGCAACATGTTTGGGGTAGACATACGATGCAACATTCCTGCTGCGTGCAATGTTGCATGCAATGTTGCACCGTGTGTCAGAACCTTTATAATCATTCTCGTGGAAAATGGCGGATATCTTAATGTTAAGATGTCCATTATTGTGCCTCGAAAAGTCTGTCCCCAGGCAACGTTGTCGCAAGAAACACAAGCACTGAGTTCACACCCTCCCCACCTCTCCCCCTGCTAGTTCATGACCAGTGTCTTGATCTCATCCTAATACCTCTTATAAAGAAGATATTTTTTAATCTTAGAGGGTAATGGCAGCATATGTATCTTAGAAGCAGGAAAAGACTCATTAATTACAATCCGACAAAAATGCTTTAAGTTAGGCAAGACGGGGAGCTGCCATACCCTGATGTACCCATCGCTATAGCTCGCAGCTAGTTGCTCTCCGCTACGCGAGAACGCCAGGTGGTATATCCCCGCTGTACTCTGAAACTCAGGCGACTGTATCGAGGTATCAAGCTCGAACAAAGTCGAGCCATCGTCTGGATCCAAGCAAGTTATGATTCCTTCACTGCAACCTACGGCAAGAATATCCCCTTCAGTGGAATATTTCATGCTGTTGATGACCCTGGTGAGTTGAATTTCACAGATATTTTCTATTTTACCGCGTCGGGGGCCTGTCCTAGAGGGTACTATCTCCCAGATCTTCACAAGCCCTCGATAAAAGGTACACGTAGCGAAAACCTCGTGAGGAAAACGGGGGTCAAACTCACAGGTACACGGTTCACTGATTGTTTGGTCTAGCATTTCAAGTGGTTGGATTATCACTTCAGTGTCTAAGAAATGGCAAAATTTGAGTCCCGACGAGCGAAGGAAGAAAATCTGACCTCTAGACGAGATTACAGTTAGAAAATAGCTATCCGAGGAAAATACTAAGCTTGCTACGGTGCCCTTAAAGCCTTTACAAGTCCTGGTGATTTTGACAGAATGCAAGATGTCTAGAGATACAGTGTTGTGGATCATAACTTGAAGGCCGTTGGTATTCTCGAATGTACTTGCTATCATACTACCATCAGGAGAAAAGGGACACGTTTGTGGATAAAGTTTACGATATTCGTTAACAACGCCCTCAAATCCACAAGATACCACTTCACTCATTCCAGTGCCGCATTTAGCGATGAAAAGGTCTTCTTCTCTGTATTGTTTCATCCCTTGACAGCAGATATAGTTCCCATCAGGCGAGATGTTCCAGGGACCAGAAGTGATGGTGGAATAGCGAGCTATGGTGGTTGCAGAGTACGATGTGGCGAGATCCCACACGCGCATGTATGAACCAAACTTGACGTTCTTCTGGAAGGGGAAGGTCGCGTTGCATTGCTCCACAGCCACTCCTGGTCAACGGTAAGTCAAATTGTCAGTAAAAATTCAGACCAGAATCTTCCTCATTTCTGCATTTATTTCGTCATATATGCATTGATGTTTGCGCTATATAAGTGTTAATTATTATTATCCTTTGTGTCAATGTTGCCGCAATCGTTGCGAGAGAAAAAAAGTGAGTTCTACACAGTGATTCTACGATTTGCAACTTTTGCGGAGAAATTTTAGAACCTTCACCATTCCCTATAGACCTCTTTAGCTTGGGCGTAATGTTTTCTCATCTCAGACCACGTGTAATTCTCTTAAGAATGAGATTCTTTGTTTGAGTGGTATCCATATCCATGTGTCTTCTAATGTGTAACCGTTAAAGAAAGAAATGATACTCTAGGGAATGAAACGTGGTCTGAAGTGGGAAAAGGTTACACCCAAGGTAAAAGGGTCTGCAACGACGCAACGCATATTTTTTTATTGCCTAACGAAACTTGTCAAAGAATAGGGTGAAGGAATTAATGTCAGTCAATCGGCTGTAAGGAGAGTTGGCTTGATAAAAGCGAGGGTGGATTCTTATAAGTTCTATTTTTGAGCTGGAATGGTCGAGAGAGCTCGAGGGAGGTGTCCCACGGCTAGCCACCACTTACACCCACTTGAGATATGCATTCCTAAAACAAACAACGGACAGCACATAGAACAAAATAACTGTACGAATCAACATACAAGTACTAAAGACAAATAACCAGAAAAGGAGAAAAAATAAACTCCAACCACATATCGAGCAAGATAGCAGTCAGGCTTGGCTTGACTTATCTGTCAATTACACTATCGATTTATTTAATTTATTAATTTACTTATTTACTTTCTTGGCAAAACAATTTAATACTCTACTGTCGGCTATCATGACCGTGTCCCGTGCAAAAAAAAACAAAAAAAAAAAAAAACCGCGAGATTTAGCCCAGCTGTACGTCATGGTCGCGCTACTTTCATATACATGCAAACGGCCGTGAGATCAAAATTATAGCAATTCTGTGCCTGAAATAAAGTTCAATTATCTACTCTTACATACCATAGACGATCTTGGAGTCGTCATTAGGGGCGAACATACACTGGTATTGATAGTGGTAACGAACAGACACATGCTCGTTGACGTGAAACGGTGAACTACCACCCAAAAGCCCATCACCTGTCAACTGAATGATAACTTGACAAGCTTGCTTGTTCCTCTTGGTCTGAAATCTTTTGTATTTTCTATCGGAAAGACTTCGACCACTTTCAATTGGTCTCTGCCAACATATAGCCGACAGAACAATACCCATCTGAACGTATGTGTGGACTGATTCGCAGAATTCTTAATCCCAAAATATTAAGGAATAAGAGCCGGATTTTCAACATCTAATGTTCCTGTTGTTCTGAAAATGTCACAAACTTTTCCCCTTAACCTTCCAGAGTCCCGACTTTATGTTGGATTTTTAACTAAAGCTTTTAGGCGGTAGCTGAATTTCTAGAGTTTTCTTGGTTGTCTAGGTAACAAAAACAAACAATGCTTCAGTGTCCTTAACATCAAGAACACCGACCAGCACAAAGATGCCGATTGAAGTGCGTGGAAAATTGCATTATTCACCCTAAAATTTTCATATAATCGAACTCTTTCTCATCGTATTTTCACGGTACAATTTTTTTTGGGTTGAATCTCAGAAAAATGTCGAGAAAAGGATATCACTATGCAAAGGGAAGGGTGGGGCAAGCTTGGAAAAGTTAAGTGAATTATATTGGGAAAATTATTGGAAAAAGAACAAAAGCAAATTGCTGTCATATACTTTGTGCGCGTGTTATACATCGAAGGATGGTCCTACTGATTAATTAACATCTAATTTATAAACTATAATGGGCTCAAAAGTCTTTTTTATGATCATTATAGTCCGCCCATGGCTACTCGCATGCACTCAGTTAAGGGTGATACCGTTTATCGACGCATGACGGCCCGGATACAGGTGCTGTCGGCCTAAAATAGCACTACTTCGCTTAAACACTCTCACCTCAAAGATTGTTTGAAGTAGAAAAACATCTTGAAAGCCTCAAAGCCAAGGCAACTGGTATGGATGGTTCTAGTTCTATTCGCTTGCTGTGAAACTTGCCAACCCTTCATCTTAGTCTAGACTCGTTGTGTTCGGCTACCATAGTTAATAGTATAGTTAGAATTAGTCCAATATTCGTTGATAGAATATTTAAGGTCATAACTTTTAGACCTCTCCACTCTTGCTATTTCATACTAATTTTTTCATAATGCAAAATTGTTCTAAGAAGTACTTCCTGGTATTTTTTCAGTTTTACTACAATAGGGGAAGGTTGTCAATTGGGACGCAAGTCCTGTATCCTCCTCCTGTCACGTTTTATCATAATAACCTACTTCTTTTTCACTATGTTTTCCTTTTTATCTCTATATAACTATGTTTAGCTCACTTAATTTATTAGATCGCATATTGTACCTCAGGCTGTAAATAGTGACGAATAAACTAAACTAAGCTAAACTAACTATGGCTCTATCTTTAAGTTTAACTAATGGTATATCTTTCCAGATCATTGGAAGCTTGCTCGTGTGACACTTGTTCACACATCTCGTAGTAACAGACGACATGATCATGATCTACTTGTTCCTAACCAACCTGGCTTTCACAGGTGTCATGGTGTGATGGTCACGCTACCAGGTAATGGTGATGAGATGATGGCGGTGGTCGTGGTCGTGGTGGTAGTCAATGATGATCGAGATGATGATGATGGGTGTGGTCATATGATGTTGTTGATGAATCGAAAGTGGTGGTGGTGGCGGCGGTGGTGATAATGATGACGACAGTGGCGTCGATTATACCATTGTCGTTATAGCTCCTTATTCAAGTTTTGGGCACTTACGCTACTGGCGCATCACGTCAGCCATGTTTCAGAGTTGACAAAATCACAGCGTGAAA